TGAGAAAGTTTAATGTATTCTATATATGTATGTCTAAGCACTACAAACAGATACAGCAGCTTTATACATACAGAGCAAGTCTATTCTAAGTAAATACATACTAATTATTTGCTAATTATATTCGGATCCTACAATCTCTCAATCTCATATCATTGACTGATTGCCAAATATATTCTGATCCTATAATCAGTCAATCTCAGATCATTGACTGATTTTCTTTCCTTTAACACTCCCCCTCAAGTTGGAAGGTGGATATTGATGACACCCAACTTGCCAAGAAATGAACCGAATGCAGGTGCCCTCAATGGCTTGGTAAACAAGTCTGCTATCTGTTCTCCAGTTTGCACATATCCAGTCTTGATCTCACCTCTTTCTATTCTTTCACGAACGGTGTGACAATCGAGCTCAATGTGTTTGGTTCGTTCGTGATACACTGGATTTGCTGCAATATATAGGGCAGCTTGATTATCACAAAACAACTTTGCAGGTTCATCATGAGTAACATGCAGATCATGCAATAGATATCTTAACCAAGTGAGTTCACATGTAGCTGCAGCCATTGAACGATATTCAGCCTCGGCAGATGATCGTGCAATTGTAACTTGCTTCTTGCTTTTCCAGGACACCAGTGAGTTACCAAGAAAAATGCAATATCCCGTGACTGACCGGCGTGTCATTGGGCAACGAGCCCAATCAGCATCACAATAACCAATAAGGTTCAACTTGTTCTGTGTAGAGAATAACAGCCCTTGCCCTGGAGTTCCTTTAAGGTAGTGAAGTAGACGATTTACAGCATCAAGATGTTGACGTTTAGGCTCTTGCATAAACTGGCTGAGTGTATTGACTGCATAAGTAATTTCTGGCCTTGTAATTGTGAGATAGATTAGCTTTCCAACTAAGCGTCGATACCTAGTAGGATCTTTGAGCAGTTCACCTGTAGAAGATAATGTTATATCAGGTTCCATGGGAACCTTGGCTGGTTTAGCTCCAAGTAGTCCAGCTTCTTCCAAAATGTCAAGAGTATACTTGCGTTGACATATAGAAATTCCCGTTTTCGACCGTGCCACCTCAACACCAAGGAAATATTTCAAGGGTCCAAGATCTTTGATTCGGAATTGGCTGCCAAGGAAATGCTTCAATTTACAGATTACCTCCTCATCATTCCCTGTGATGATCATGTCATCTACATAGAGCAATATAATAGTCAGGGAACTTCCATGTACCTGTGTGAACAAAGAGTAATCTGCCTTAGATTGCTTGAAACCAATTCCACATATAGTAGATGAAAACTTTCGAAACCAGCTCCGTGGAGCTTGTTTCAGTCCATACAAGGACTTGTGGAGTCGACAAACAACCCGCTGCTCCCCCTGTCGACGTGAACCAGGCGGAGGTAACATGTAAACCTCCTCGTGGAGGTGGCCATGGAGGAACGCATTCTGAACGTCCATTTGATGAAGAGACCAGTTGCGAGCAGCCGCAACCGTGAGTAAGCAGCGGACAGTAATCAACTTCGCAACCGGAGCAAATGTGTCAGTGAAGTCAATACCTTCACGTTGGTTGAATCCCTGGGCAACAAGGCGGGCCTTGTAACGATCAACAGAGCCATCAGAGTGGTATTTAATCCGAAAAATCCACTTGGAACCAATGGGACGATGACCGGGAGGCAGAGGAACCAGCGACCAGGTGTGGTTGTCTTCAAGAGCCTGCAGCTCAGAGTTCATTGCAGCAACCCATTGAGGGTCATGACAGGCCTGTTCATAGGAAGAGGGCTCTACCAATCGGGATATATTACACACATAATTCCGATAAGCAGGAGAAAGACTAGAGTAAGATACATATCGATGAAGGGGATACCTGGTTCCAGACGTGGAGGAAGAAGCGACTCCGGGCGTGAGCAAGGCGGTGTGATGAGCTTCATAGTCCCGAAGATAGGTAGGAGGACGGGGGACACGGGCAGACCGTCGAGGTAATGAGGATGAGTCAAGAGAAGGAGGATGAGTCTGTGAAAGGTCAAGGGAGGACGACGATCGCAGGGGAATGAGGGTCTGGGAGCGGGTTTGAAGAGAGAAAGGGTAAGGTGGTGTGGGCCGGGTCTGTGGAAGCGAAGAGTGAGGGGATGTGGGTCGGGCCTGGAGATATATGGGATGGGGAAGGCAGGTCAGCTTGGGGAATAGGGAGATTAGGTGAGTCAGTTTGATTTTCTGCTGGAAGATTAGAAAAAGGAAAGGTGTGTTCGTGAAAAATGACATCCCAAGAAACAAAAAATTTCTTTGTGTCAAGATCATAGACGCGATAACCCTTTTGGTTGAGAGTATACCCAAGAAAAAGACAACGATGAGCACGAGTGTCAAATTTGTGATTGGGGTTAAGATTAGTGGCATAACAAAGACACCCAAAAACTCTTAGGTGAGTATAAGTAGGCGAATGCCCATGTAAAATTTCATAAGGTGTTTTATGAGACAGTGATGGAGTGGGAAGGCAATTTATAAGATAACATGTCGTTTGAAGGCTTTTCCCCCAAAATTGTAAAGGTAGATTGGCTTGAAAACGTAGTGCCCAACCAATATTCAAAAGATGACGATGTTTGCATTCAACTACCCCATTTTGTTGAGGGGTATATGTGCAAGAATGTTGAAAATTGGTGCCAAGATTGGTGAAGAAGGAGCGCATGGATAAGAATTCGCTACCATTATCGGAACGAAAAGTTTTAATGGTGCGATTAAATTGTGTTTTAACCCATGAGAAAAAGGATTGCAAGATGTGTTGTGTATCGGATTTAAAAGTCATAAGATGAACCCAAGTAAAACGAGTAAAATCATCAAAAATAGTCAAGAAATAATGTGCCCCAGAGTGTGTATGTGTTTTGTGAGGTCCCCAAATGTCACAATGAATAAGATCAAAAGGTGCAACTGTTTGAATTGAACTAGCAGGAAAAGGTAATCTTGTTTGTTTCGCCAAAGGGCAAATATCACAAATATGCTGGGAATTAAACATTATTTCAGGAATATTCTTTGACAGAGAGTGAAGAGGAACAGGTGACGGGTGTCCTCGACGTTGATGCCAAAGATTTGAGGTGTGGCGAACATGACTAATGAGGTGAGGATTTTGGGCAGGTGTGAGGTAGTAAAGCCCATCAAAATGCTTGCCCAGGCCAATCGTCTTCTTCGTATCCACGTCCTGCACAACACAAAAATTTGGAAAGAAAATTACTATACATCGAAGAGCTCGCGTTAATTTATTAACAGATAACAAGTTAACACTTGGAACATATGTAGAACTCCATCAAGAGACAAGTCGGGCGATAGATTCATAGATCCAATGTTACGTATTGCTGTCTGTTCTCCGTTGGGCAAACTAACAAATTCATGATGTGTGGCAGTTTGATTATGTGTAGAAGCCGAATGAGAAATGTGATCGGTGGCCCCGCTATCCACAATCCAATATAGCGTGGAGTGTGGATCATGTTGTGCAATATTACAAGTGGGTGTAATGATACCTGTTGCATGTGCTAGAGGCTGACTGTTACCCTTCTTATTACAAAGCATGGTAACAAGTTCGTTGTACTCCTCAGTGGTGAAGGTTGGGCCATCAACGGGGGTTGTCTTGGTGATGGCAGTAGGTTGAACTGTTGACTGAATGGCTTCAATGTTGTGAGCT